CTTTTAAACTCTGTGTGACCCAGAGAAACTCTGAGACTCAGAAAATCACAGAGAATGTGATGCAATGTGAAAGTTTAATGTGGATTTCTGTGATTTTTTTTATTTTATTTTTTAAATTATTATTAAAACTGGGCCTTTTAAAAAAAATATATATATAATAATTTAAAATCTCTTCCATGCAGCATGAATTGCTACTTATGCAGAGGGAGGGACTATCTCATTCTAGAGAGCGTTTGATTGGATTAATATTTGTGTATTTCAGGATGAGTTCGTCAGTCCGTATCATCTTTGGTTAATTTTCCAGAAAGAAAAAAATGTATTTTATAAGTGGATCCTGTTCTCCGAGGTCCACTTACAATGTTAAGACATCAAAAAGCATGCAATTTAGAAGTAATAAGCTATTTCTGTCCTGGTTTTGACCCCCCTCATCAGAACGCTCTGTTTGAATGGGCGTGGCTGATTGTAGACTCTGAAGTAAATGCCCACTGCTATGATTGGCTAACTGTATGTTTGTACGTTTGTAAACAAATCCGCGGTAAAATGAAGTGAACAAAGGACCAAGTTCTTACTGGACCTTCATTAAAAATAAAGTTCATCAAAGTTTATGGTTTGGTTTCTGCGTAGACCTGAGTTTGCTGCTCTTGCATAAATCGAAGCAGGCATAGAGCTTCTTCTGCGGAGGCGGGGTTTAGCCACACTATTACATCATAGAGTAGAACATTCCACAAGCTGTCGTTTTGGTAGATTGGTTTTAATATAAGCTGTTTTTAGACTAACAAGAAAGTTTTGAGTTCTCAAACTTACAGAATGATTTTATAGCACATTGACCTCTTAAATATCAAAGGATCAAGGGAATTTTGATATCTCAGTTCATGACCCCTTTAACATTTTTGAATAGACTAAGTTGTCATGGGGTGTTTAAACTATTATGCTCTTTGTACACTGACCAGTGTTATTTCAGTATAATTGAGATACTGTTGTAGTTTTTATTAACATTTACAGTTCTCATTTTAATTTTAGTTTGTCATTTTTATTTGTTTTTGTTTTAATTTTTATTTTAGTTTTGATTTTAGTTATTTTAGTACTTAAACTAAACAAAGTTCTCATCTTGAATTAGTTTTTTAAATTATATTTTGTTTTGTTTGCATTTTATTAATTTTATTGTGTTTTTGTCATTTTATACATTTTTTAATATATGTACATTTTCATCGTTGTTTTGGAGTCAATTTTATTTTTATATAGTATTTTCCATTTTTATTTTAGATGAGGTTTTGCTAATTTGTAATATTTGTAGCTTTTAATTTGTTTTTATTTTATTCATTTATAGCTCAGTTTTTATTTTATTTTTACTTAAACTAAACAAAAATTCATTTTGAATCATTTAAAAATATATATATTTTTACAAAGTTTTATTAATTTTATTGTGTGTTTGTCATTTTATGAATCGTATATTTTTATTTCATAGTTTTTATTAGTACTTTGGATTCATTTTTATTTTATTTTTAATTTTAGTGATTTATTTTACTTCGACCTAAACTAAATGTTTATATTTTTTGTTTTACTTTATTTCAAGTTAATGTTTGTTTTATTTCAAGTAACAAAAATGTTTTTTGTTTTTTTTTAGTTGAGTAACCTATTTTATTGTGTGTTTGTCATTTTATGAATCGTATATTTTTATTTCATAGTTTTTATTAGTACTTTGGATTCATTTTTATTTTATTTTTAATTTTAGTGATTTATTTTACTTCGACCTAAACTAAATGTTTATGTTTTTTGTTTTACTTTATTTCAGTTAATGTTTGTTTTATTTCAAGTAACAAAAATGTTTTTTGTTTTTTTTTATGGTTTAGTTTTAGTTGAGTAACCTTGACACTGACCCATGTCTGCGTTTATTGTTAAAGATGCTGGGAATTGGAAAGGAGGTGCTGAATTGAGGAGAACTGGAGTAGATCTGATGAACTCTGCTCGACTGTTATTTTAACTCCTCTGATGGCAGCTCTTCGTGGACTGAATTATTCAGCGCTCAGCATTATCTGACGCCCTACAGGTACTGAGACGGGTCAAACCTTCCTCTGTCCTCCATCATATCTGACTTCAGACACTTCTGAGTAATATTTTAGTAAAAGCTTCATGCTGATGTTTGTCATTTCATATATTCATTTTATTTCCGTAGATATGAAATGGCAAAATGACAAAAAATTTGGATCTCAGCACACCATGTTCAAGTCGATATATTTGATAGAAATATATAATGGCAAAACAAGTAAACTGCAGAAGTAAGCAGGGACATAAAATAATAATTCCCCCACAACTCTGTCACCATTTACTCATTCGTGAACATTTTCTGTGGACTTTACTAATACTTTTATAACTTTTTTCTTTTGTGCTATAAATCACCTTTTTATGAACTTTCAAAATTAGCTTCCACATTCCGTTTAACTTTTTTTCCACAGAAAAACAAAGAAAATAACATGAGGGTGAGTAAATGATGACAAATTTTGAGTGAACCAGTCCTTTAATAATCAAACCCACAATGTCCGGCCTTCAAATTCAGATCAGCTGTTTATCTGTGGGTTGAACCGATGGTAAATATAATGTTTTTAACAGAATTGTATTTGTAATTTGCTTACATTCATTGAAGGGAAAGTCCTCCTGGTGTTAAAGTCGACATGAAACTGTTTGCTACGGTGGTGCATTGCTGCCACATACATACTATTGTTTCCAATTTTTATCAATTATGTTGCAATAACGAGATGTTATGCCATTAAAACTATATATTTTTTCATAATAACAAAATACTATGTTGTTTAAACATAATTTCTCTTGTTAAAATGACATATTTTCTTGTAATAACAAGATGCTGTCATTAAAAAAAAAAAACATTTTTTCATTATAACGTCATTACGTCACAAAAACAATGTTTTACCGCCAGCATCTCGTTATTACTAGAAAATATATAGGTTAAACATATCTCGTTATCATGAGAAAATAGCGCTTTAACAAGAAAAATGTCAGTTTAACAACATAATATCTCATTATGACGAGAAAATATATTGTTTTAACAATATAACATCTCGTCATTACGAGAAAATCGTTGTCGTTTTAACGACATAACATCTCGTTGTTACAAGAAAATGTCATTTTAATGAGAAAAATGTCATTTTAAAGACATTTCTCGTTATTACAAGAAAATGTAATTGTAAAATATATCTTGTTATTTCTAGAAAATATATTGTTTTATATCGACATAACATCTTATTTCGATAACATCTGTTACTTTAACAAGAAAAATATCTTAATGACATAACATCTTGTTAGTACGAGAAAACGTTTTAATAGCAGCATCTCGATATTACTAGAAAATATATTGTTTAAATAACATAACATAGAACGTTTTAACAAGAAAAATGTTGATTTGATGACATGGCAACTTGTTATTACTAGAAAATATATAGTTATAACAACATAACATCTCATTATTATGAGAAAACATATGGTTTTGTACAAGAATTAGCTGGTTGGCTGGGTTGAAAAATAATAAATAACGTCAAGGAAAGTTTTTTCGGAGGCAGAGCAGGTTATTACATTTTGATGAAGCATTAAAAAGACAAACGTTTTATTTTGAATAAAGTGCTCTAATTATTTGTGCACAGGAGAAGTATTTGTATTATGAAAATGAATAGAATTAATTTTGATTTCATGTTGACTTTAAGTGCTCAAGGGGGCAATGATTGCAGGACGTCCATGTGATATGATTTGAGATGATTGATATCCTCATGAAGGTTGTGAATATGAAAACATGCATTACCAGCAAGCATGAGCGGAACAGAGAAAAAGCGCGAGAGTTTGTGCTTTTCGGCTGATTGAGCTGCTGTCCTGGGCGGCATCTGTCTGTGTGATGACTGACAGCTGTCACTCATTATTTACGGACAGTGAAAGGGTCATGGGCTCCGTTTGACGTTTCTGTGGCACCGCCGTAACATTACTGTAAACACATTCATCATTTCATTTAAATACCATCAGCCTTTTCAATGGATTGTGCATATGTTCTCTTTTCAGATATTTTTGAGTAAATATTGTGTAAAACAAGTGTTTGTTTAAAGGAATTGTTCACCCAAAAACAAAAATATAAGGTGTTATTTTAGTATCATTGAGATACTATTATAGTTTCTTGAAGTATTTTTTAAAATGTTTTTCTTTTTCCTTTTAATTTTAGTTCAAGTTTGAGTAATTCTGCTGTGTTTTTGTCATTATTAGTAGTTGTCTATATAGTTTTCATTCATTATTATTTAAGGTTCAGTTTTTACTTATTATAGTACTTCAAGCTAAACTAAATTAAAGTGAGAAATGTTCACTTGGCAACTATCTGAAATAATTTTTTTAATTTCATGTTACCAACATTTTTTAATTTTAGTTACAATTTTAGTTTTAGTTAACTATAATAGCCCTGCCCTCAAGCAAGGTTATAATCCTTATTTAAAACTAAAACAAACAAAAACATTTTAGTTACTTGAAATAAAATAAACATGGAATAAAATGTAAAAATATATATTTAATTTCAGTTAGTTGCCAAGGCAGCATTTTTCATTTTCATTTAGTTCAACTTTAAGTACTGAAATAAAATTAAAACTTATTTATAGATATATTTTTTAAAATAATAAAAATGACTAAACAAAATTAAAAAAAATTACAGAATTTCTTAACTCAATATATGAATGTTTTGTTTTGTTTATACTGAAGTACTAAAATAACTACAATTAAAAATTTAATTAAACTAAATAAAACAAAAACTAATAAAAAAAAACAAACTAATAAAGTTACAACAAAATTCTTAAAACTTTGAACTAAAATTCAAATAGAAAATAGAAAAGAAAGTATAATCGCATATCAATGATACCAAAATGACAATGATACTAAAAATGTTATTTTTACTGTAGAATACAAATTCAGAATAAAAAGGCAATTTTTATGATGCTTTTATGGTGCTTTTTGGAGCTTTAAGATTCTTCATAAATTCTCCTTTTGTGTTCCACAGGAAATAAAATGACATCATACATGTTCGGAACATCAAAGAATGACAGAATGTCAATTTTTGGGTGAACTGTCCCTTTAAATTCACTAGCTGTCCAACCTGCTCTTTAGATCTCAGAATATGCAATTAAAAACCCATATTGTTTGTTATCAGTATCCGTGAAAGTCATAAATAATCCAGCAGTTCCAAGGCTGTGCTTCTAGTCTCTGTTCTGAAAAGAGTTGGAGGGTCCCATCATAAGGCCTCCAGTCAGACGGTGGTGACTCTCATAACCACTTCTCTAGGTTTAGTGGTGTTTGTGCTGATGTTGCTGGCTGGGCTGCGTGGCTCGTGTGGCCGTAGATGACTCAGTAAATGCAGGAGGTTATAGGGACAGTGCTGGTCCGGTAAAGCCGGTCCGTCAGCGAGCGCATCAGTCTGGTAGGAGTCCTGCGCTGCAGCTGTGGTGTTTGTGTTTGTCGTGCCGTCGGTCACGTGGAGTGCCGGCGTCCCAGCAGCAGCCATGAGTGAAGACGGTGAAGGAGAGACGTCCGCTCCTGATGGATCCCTCTGGTGGAGCAGTGAACGCGTCCATTCCTCATTATTCTTCAGCTCCTCGCTGTCTCGCTTCTTGTCGTAGTTTAAAACTTTCCACTGCTGATTGACGGCCTGCCAGCGGTGGAATATACGGAAAACGGACGGGCCCTCGTGGACAATTAGAGCTGCGGAGAAGAGAGATTCATCCGGGTTACTGTAAGTTTCTGCAATGTTTTGATCATTCTGATAATTCTTGAGTTATATGGAAGCTTGTTTCTGCCACAAATCAAAAGATGGTGAATCTTATCTTTTAATTCTTATCTTATCTGATGTCTTGCAATTCTTGGTTTATACTTTGCAATTCTAAATTTATGCCTCACAATTCTGAGTTTATATCTCGCAGTTCTGAGTTATTTTGCAATTCTGAGTTTATATCTCGCAATTCTATTTTATATCTCGCAATTCTGAGTTTATCTTACAATTATAGCTTATATCTCGCAATTCTGAGTTTATATCTCACAATTATAGTTTATATCTCCAAGGATTTATTTGAAACATTTATCTGGAACAACATACAAAGCTACCAAATTTTCCTATAAGTTAATCGCAACATATAATCATTACAGTTAATAGGGTTCACCGTCTGTTTGATTACGTGTAATTTGTAACTAACTGCATGATTCTTACTGTACATTTCTGAGTTTATATCTCGCAGTTCTGAGTTATTTTGCAATTTTTAGTTTATATCTCGCAGTTCTGAGTTATTTTGCAATTTTTAGTTTATATCTCGCAGTTCTGAGTTATTTTGCAATTCTGAGTTTATATCTCGCAATTCTATTTTATATCTCGCAATTCTGAGTTTATCTTACAATTATAGCTTATATCTCGCAATTCTGAGTTTATATCTCACAATTATAGTTTATATCTCCAAGGATTTCTTTGAAACATTTATCTGGAACAACATACAAAGCTACCAAATTTTCCTATAAGTTTAATCGCAACATATAATCATTACAGTTAATAGGGTTCACCGTCTGTTTGATTACATGCAATATGTAACTAACTGCATGATTTTTACTGTACATTTCTGTCATAGTCACCAATAATAACCTACTCCTAAATATAATGTGGAAACGTAACATTTTCTGTAAAGCTGCTTTGCAACGATTTGTATTGTCAAAAGCGCTATACAAATAAACTTGAATTGAATATCTTGCAATTCTGAGCTTTATCTCACAATTCTGAGCTTATATGTTGCAATTCTGAGTTTATATCTCACAATTCTAGTTTATATCTTGAAATTCTGAGTTATTTTGCAATTCTAAGTTTATAACTCGCAATTCTGAGTTATTTAGCAATTTTGAGTTTATATCTCACAATTCTTTCTTTATATTATTAGTTTATATTTCACAATTTTCACTTTTTTCTCAGAATTGCAAGAAAAAAAAAATGGAAAGATAAAAAGTCATAATTATGTTTTTTAATATATTTAATATATTCCATGGATAAATCTAAATGCAAAAACCTTTACTAACATTATAATTGAACCTCAGGAAGATAAAAAAACAAAAAAATTAAGTGACTACTTTAAGTCAGACTATAGATAGCTGAAAACGCATATCATTGCAGCCGGTCTGTTCTCAGTGTTAATGAACTGCAAAAACCCACAGAGCACTTTGCAAACTCAGAGTGGTGTAAAATCCAAACCACATACTGTACTATATACTAATTCTGTTAGTGACGAATAAGGCCAAAGATCTGTATCTAAAATGTCTGTATCTACGAAGTCTACAGTAATTTTGCAACAGTCAGTTGCATTCTTTTCGTTTATGCTCAGTGATTCAGAAAGCTGAATGATTCTTGAAGGTTGTGTTTGGAATGATATATTAGCATATTTCAAGGTATTTACTGTATATAACGGTATGCAATATGCACAAATAAATTTCAAGTGGCAGTTTGATACATTGTTGTTACATGACCACACACACACACATATTTATATCAAGAAAGAGGTGTTAAAATAACAGCTGATGTAGTATGTGATGTGAGTACTGTTTGCATACTGTGCTCAGTATATAACACAGCGTTAGTAAGAGTATGATGGCAGAATGAACACAGCGCATGTATTATTTCATACTAATGACTCATAAACCTCTGGATCCAGGCGCATGTGTGTTGAGCTCTGGGTATCTCATCTGTGGTTCTGTTTGAAGAAACACTAATCCAAACTCCTGGAGTTTCTCTCTGATTTATGCCTGTTTCCATCTAAGTTTAAACTGGAGGTAATATTAATGGAGGTAGACGGCTGTGTCTAGCCTGGTTCCTCATTACTTGAAGCTCTTTCTCTCTGTGTGTTTGTCCAGCGTTAGTGCTCTGAGATGTTTGTGCCTCCTGACCTCTTTACTAACTTTCTCCTCCTGTTTCTGCCTTTGTTCTCTCTTTTCTTTGCCTTTCTGGGAAGTATTTTATTGTGATTCAGGCTCAGTTTTGGTTTCTACACTCCTACTCTAACTATAATGTTTTGCATTGTATTTGGATATGTAAAGAAGTAATTCACTGAAAAATGACAATTTGCTGAACATTTACGTTGCTTGCTCACCAATGGATCCTCTGCAGTGAATGGGTGCCGTCAGAATGAGAGTCCAAACAGCTGATAAAAACATCACAATAATCCACAAGTAATCCATAGCACTCCAGTCCATCACTTCACTTCTTGAGGAGACAAAAGCTGCACATTTGTAAGAAACAAGTCCATCATTAAGACGTTTTAAATTTAAACCATCACTTCTGGCTAAAATATGGCTAACATCTGAATGTTGGATTTGTTTCTTACAAACACAGCTTTTGGCTTCACAAGATGTTAATTGATGGACTGGAGTATTTTCTTGTAAAACATTCCAATAATCTGTTAGAAAGTGTACATTAGTAATTCTAAGTGAACTACTGCTTTAGATCCAGTATTCAGCTTTAATGACTGAGATTGAATGCGACACAAACAATCTCTCCTGCTGTGTCACATGTTTTATTTGCCGTTTGCACAAAGACAAACAAACTGAATCATTTATCAAAAGATTCTTTTGATTTCTCCCTCTCTTTCTGTTTACACTCATATGTGTTTGTGTGACTTGATGAGTGAGTTAGTATTTCATAAAATCTGTGAGGAGAGTTATTTCTAATTTTCGGTGATGCTTTATTTTAGTATCATTGATATATTACAGATGTTGTTAATATTTTACATTTACATTTAGTCATTTAGCAGACGCTTTTATCCAAAGC